TTGCCCCATGGCCCCGGTGGTCTCTCTGTGTGCATCCCTGGGTTGCACCTGGGTGAGCTTTCCCAAGTTCATGACAAATCGTGGAACTCTGCTGCTCAAAACTTCCCATAGTCTCTCTCTATTCTCAGGTGGAAGGTCAAATCTCTAGAACAGTCTGTTGCCCTGCCTGGTCTGGCTGCTGCCTCCAGCCTCGCTTCTCCCCACTTGGGTCTCACTGGTCTCCTTTTTAGTTCCATGGATTTACCAAGCTCTTTGCGGCTGCTGCAGGACCTTTGCACATTCTGCTGCCCCCCCCCTTTTACATTCATGTCTTGACTTAAATGTCACTTCCTCAGAGAACCCATCCCTTTCATCACCACTCCTCCCAAGTAGGTGAAACTTCCTTTTTTAATTGAAAACCTTGAGATAATTATAGATTCACATGGAGTTGCAAGAAATAATACAGAGAGATACCTTGTACACTTTGCCCAGTTTCTCTTAATGGTAATACTTTGCAAAGTTGTAGTACGATATTGCAACCTGGATGCTGACATTGAAATGGTCATCTGATTTTATTCAGATTTCCCAGTTACACCTGCACCCATTTGTGCTTGTGTGTGTGTGTGTGTGTGCGCATTTTGGGCTCCACACACTTTTAGCACTTTGCAGGTTCGTGTATCCACCACCACCATCAAGATACGGAACGGTTTGGGGGCACCTGGATGGCTCGGCTGAGCATCTGACTCTTGATTTTGGTTCGGGTCATGATCCCAGGGTTGTGGGCTTGAGCCCCACATCAGGCTCCACGCTGTGCATGGAGTCTATTTGAGATTCTCTCTCTCTCTCTGACCCTCTCCCCTGCTCACGCATGCTCTCTCTGTCTCTAAAAAAAAAAAAAAAAAAAGATACTGAGCAGTTTCAACACTGTGCTGTCCCTCTTGACGCCCTTTTGTACTTCATTCTGTGCCCTGCCATCACCCTCTGCCTGGCAAGCACTCATCTGTCCTCCATTTCTCAAATTTGCCATTTCAAAAGTATATAAATGGGAGTGTAGAGAACACAAGTCTTTTGGAATTAGCCTTCTTCCCTCAGCATGATTCCCCGGGGATGCATTTGAATTGCCACATGTGTCCACCGTTGACTCTATTTTGCTGAACAGGATTCTGTGGTTTGTGAGTTACTTTGTTCAGCCACTCACCTGCGGGGCGGGGTGGGGAGGGACTTGTGGGCTGACTCTGGTTCTGAGCCGCCATGACCATTCTTGTACAGGTTTTTGTGTGAACATAAGTTTCCAAGTTTCCAACTCACATGGCAGCCCTCAGTACCGTATCCTGTCCCTCAAGTACAGCCCAGCTGTGTGTATCATCGGATCCCATTCGGGGCCAAGTCACTTGGGGTTGGTTATCAGATACTACCCAGCCTTGGGTCTCCATAGGCTCCTTACTAGCCAGTGTATAAATACACGAGACGACAGCAAGTCCCCAACGCTGTTACCTTTCACGTAGTGAAGTCCTGAACCCCCCACCCCCTGCCTGAGAATGTGACCTTATTTGGAAATCATGTTCATTATTAATGAGGGAACTTAAAGTCTTACTAAAGTGGGGCAGGCCCCTAATCCAATACGACTGTGTCCTTATGAAAAGGGGACATTTGGATGGCACACACGCATGGAGAGTGCCATCTGAAGACAGGGGTTATGGTCTCACAAGCCAATGAATTGCCAGAAGCTAGAGGGGCGCCTGGGTGGCTCAGATGGTTAAGAGTCGGACTCTTGATTTAAGCTCAGGTCATGATCTCACGGTTCGTGAGTTCAAGCCCCGCGTCAGGCTCTGTGCTGACAGCTCAGAACCCAGAGCCTGCCTCGAATTCTGTGTCTCCCTCTCTCTCTGCCCCTCCTCCAATCACACTCTCTCTGTCTGTCTCTCTCTCAAAAATTAATAAACATTAAAAAAAATTTAAAAATAAATTCAAGTTAATTACGTATAACGTATAGAGTAGTATTGATTTCGGGAGTGCACAACAGTATTTAAAATTTGTAATTTTGACCCTGCGGTGCAAATAACAAATAATGAAACATTTTTAAACGGCCCTTATTGCCGGCCCTGCTGGAAAGGAAGCATTCCAGTATAAGGAAGCTTCTAGTGCGCGATCAGCAGGTGAAGTTCTCAAAATGGCCATCAGATGGCACCCTCAGCCAAATTACTGAAAATAAGTGCGTTAGCTGGGCACAACTTTGCAGCTGGGAGGACAGTAGAGGCCCTGAGGTCTAGCCCCCTTTGTTTCACAGCCCAGGAACTCCAGCCAGACAGACTACTTTGCCTGAAGCCACATATCAAGTTGGTGGCGGAAATGAGGTTCCCGTGCCCTCCTAACAAGAAATCCAGTCATCTCTCTGTGATGGTACTTTTAAAGGGGCGCTTCTCACCCCGAATGAAACAAAATCCACAAAAGACAGAGGAGAGTCGTTTGAATCCTCACACAGCCCCGTGAGTTGAGTACAAAGCCTTGCAGGCGAACCCTGGAGGATGAAACAGAGGCTTTGTTTGGTCAAATGCTAGGCAGTCACATTAACAGGGGGCTCGTTTGCTTTCACAGGGGAGTGGGGGAGGACAAAGGAGGGGAATTCACGGATGCAACAAGACGGACTGATCCTGGGGAAGTAAGAAGACTGTGGCCAGGGAAGCCAAAGAGAGATCCCTGGGGGAGATGAGCTTTGAACTAGGGTTAGACACGGAGGAGAGGAGAAAAGGCCACAGACACGGGACAGTTAGCATGCGCCCAGGTGAGAAAGCAGGAGCAATCCTACATGTCAGCAGGCCTGGGCTGTGCAAATGGCACCCTGGTTCCCTTGGGCCTCGGGCCTCCCTCCTTTCATGCTCGTTCCTCGCAGGCACCCCCAGCCCCGTCTCTACCTCTCTGAACGGCCCCGGGCAGAAAAGGTCCTCTCCGGCCAAGCTTTGGCATCACAGAATAAAGTTAAGGGACTGCTCTTTTTCGGCTGGTCTGTCATGTGGGACGAAAGGGTATTGCCCACCTTGAGTAATAAAATGGAGACGGAAATGGGGGGGAACAAGATGCCGTCCAGGTTGCTTGTTTAGAACCGAGGGTCTCTGCCACCAAGAGGGGTCGACGGGGAAGGAAATGGGTGAGTGAGGCACGCAGGGTGAGCCTGGAAGGGCAAAGACGAGCTGAGAGTTGAAACTTGCAGGAGAAGCACCAGGGGCCAGGCTCACCTGGCAAGGGGGCAGCAAAATGAAGACGCTTTTTAGGGAAATTATTCCAACACAAGTGCCTGAAGGGGATGGAAGCGGCAAGAGCTCGGCGGAAAGACCGTGCTGTGTTTTTTAGACGACTTCGGGGTATAATTCACATACGCTATGATTTCACCCACTGACGGTAGGCTGTTCAATGGTTTTCAGCATATTCAGAGATACGTGCCGTAATCCATAATCACAGCCCATCTTAGAACATTTCCATCATCTCAAGAAGAAATCCTTTATCTATCGCCCCCTCTGTCCCCGTGCCCGTGTCCCCCAGCACGAAGCAGCAGCAAATCGATTTTCTGTCTATGTGGATTTCCCCATTCTGGACTTTCGTATGAATTTCCACGTGTGCGGTATGGGGTCTTTTGTGACTGGCTTCTTTCACTTAACATCATGCCCTCCAAGCCACACGAGCGTTCTGACCCCTCCACATGCTCACCAACGCCTCTGGCTGCTGAGTTTTTGATCCTAGCCATGCTGATAGGCGTGGAGGGATGTCTCGTGGCACTTTTGTCTTCCATTCCCCTGGTGACCCCGTGCATCAGGTATTTTTCGTGTAATTTTCTCTCTTGCTTGTGGATTCTCCGTTTCATTGATTTCCCCTCTGATGTCTGTTACTTTCTCCCTACTGCTCACCTCAGGTTTCGTCCGACCTTCTTTTTTAGTGTCTTAAGGCGGAAGCTTAGGTTGTAGATTTCAGGCCTTCTCAATGCGGGCAATTTGCTGCTCAACATCGTTCTAAGCCCTGCTCTAGCTACATCCCAGAAATGCGGGTATATTGCACCTTAATTTTCCTTCACTTTAAAGCATTTTCTACGGGGGAAGACACTCCAGGTGGAGGGAAGAGCTTGGGGAAAGGCATAGGGGTGGGAGAGCTCAGGACAAGTTCAAGGGCGAGCCGAGGGGGGCAAAAGCAGAGGGCGTGTGGAGCAGAGTGCGTGACGGAGACAGGGAAGTTGGAGCCTTAGGGTAGAAAGGACTGAAAAGTTTATACTAAACGAGTTTCAGATCATCGGGTACCACGGTTAGGACGCTGTGTTATTTCACTTTCTTCCTAGATGTGGAACGAGAGAAGGTGCTGGTGGGGGCTGGGCCGCCACTGATTACTTTCCAGGCAGCAGGAGATACTGGCAGCATCTGCATCCCGGCCCCCTGTAGGAAGCAAGAATGCGGTCTTGTGCTTTTCATCCCTGGCTAATTTTTCAGTTTTAAAAATGACAGCAATCTCTTAAAGTGTATTTATTTTTGAGGGAGAGAGAGAACGCGAGTGAGGGAGGGGCAGAGAGAGAGGGAGACAGGGAATCCCAAGCAGGCTGTGCACCGTCAGCACAGAGCCCGACGTGGGGCTTGAACTCATGAACTGCAAGATTAAGAGCGGAGTGGAAATCGAGATTTAGACGCTTAACCAAAATGAGCCCCCCCAGATGCCCCAATAATGGCGATTTTTGTTGCCGATTCTTTCTCTTTTGAAGCCCTCTTTCCTCAGTTTCCGAGCCCCCACGCTTCCCCGGTTTCCTCCTGTCACTCCCCTGGTTCCTCCAACACGGGCCACCAAATGCTGGCGTTTCTCAAGGCTCTGACCCCGGTGTCCTCCCACTACCCTGGGCCCCCTCCCGCTGGGCAACCTCCTGTATGCCCATGGCTTCAATTATCTTCTGTTGCCCGAGCTCAGTGCCCGGATCCTTCCCCTGAGCCCCAAACCAGTACTTGGAATTGTCTTCAGTCAAACGTATTTGACCAACACAACTAAAAACAAAAATCATTTCTCAGCCTTTTGGCCAAGCTCGAGCCAAAGTAGTATCTTTTCTTAGCAGTTTAAGATCTGATAGGTCCTGGAGCTGAAGACAATATACTCAATGGATTTGGGGAGCAGGGAGAGGGAATACGGGTTGCTACATCCACCCTGCGCATGACCCATGTTGCAGGAATGGTGCATACACATACACACACACACACACACACACACACCAGGGGCAGCAGCAACAACAAAAAACTGAACTGACAATCTCCTCATTCAACCTCCAACCTGGCCACCTTGTCGCCACACGAGGCCAAGCTTCCATTTTCCCTCAGTTACTGCAATAGCTTTCTGATTGGTCTTCTAGAACCTTCTCTTCCCTCTTTCCAAGCTCTTCTCCACGCTATATAGGCAGGATGATCTATAGGGCATGACCGTGTCACCACCTGCAGCGGATGTGAGTTAGTTTTGGGTTCTCCTATGTTGGGAAATCCCCCGCCTCATGAGTCTTGGCAAGCCACACACTTCTTCTTGAAGTTGTCCTATGGATCCCGCCAGACCAGCCTCGTTTGAGAGCCTTAGACAAGCCCTGCTCCCTCTTCCTTTGCCGATGCGGTGACCTCCTGTACCCCTCAACTCCTCCCTGTTTTCTTCTGTTTCCCCTTCAGGGTTCAGTCTGTCACTTCCTCCGGGAAGTCTGCCGTGATTTCGTGACTTCACAGGCTAAGGCAGCTTTCCTTGTGATAAGGTGTCATAGAATGTGGCGCTTTCTCTGGGGATCACACACCCCTTGTGTTAGTTATTGCTCACCAATTACTGGGTGCTTCCATGGGGTCAGGCACTGAATATTCTGAGAAGAATCTGACAGCGGCCTTTAAGAATCCTACAGTTTCGCCGGGGACCATAGACAACACTACGGGATAAGTACTAGAACAGCCTCAAGTGGACATCGACAAAGTGCTCTTGGGTGTGCGCTGAAGAGGGAACAAGGAACTGACCGCTGCAGGAATGCAGGCCAGGGGCACAGAGGGCAGTGGCATCTGAGTCAGGTCCTGACGGAGGTTGCCGGGAGCGGGAGGGTGGGAAGTCCTTCCAGGCAGAAGGACCATTTGTGCTCAGAGCCACAAAGTGAAAAAGCACATGGTGGGCCAGTGAGATGCCGCGTACTCTGGTGTCACTTGAACGGAGGGCAAGAAAGGAAAGAGGGAAAGAGGAAGGCAAGGAAAGAGGAAGCGTGCCAGAGACAAGCCTGGAAGGATGGGTCGGGTCAGATTCAAAAGAGCCTCAGAGGCCATACTCACCAGGAGCTCAGCTTTCGTCCCGTTGGCCTTAAGGAATTGTTTCAAGCAGAGGAATTGTTTGAGATACTAATTCTGGCTATAGTGTGAAGGGTTGATTGAAGATTGATTGCCAAGCAGATCCATATGGAAGCCACATCTTTATAGCTCCAGAGCCTAGCAGAGAAAGAGAAAGAGAAAGAGAAAGAGAAAGAGAAAGAGAAAGAACTCAATAAATGGTTGTAAATGAATCATGAAGAAACCACCATGACATCGGAGCATATGTGGTAAGTGCCACAAGAGAAACGCTGCCTGGGGGAGAGAGAATGAAGCCCCGAACTAGAGAACTGGCAGAGAACGTCAAGGACAGATGAATGTGGAGGTGTTCTGTCTGAAGTAAGAGCAACGCAGCTAAGTAATTAACTGCAGGTAGGCGTTAAAGGAATGGGTGAATTAGGTCTGGGTGTGGCTGACAGTGACACAAAATAGACTTCAAATCGCCCTGATAGCAATCCAGAGCTACTAATGGCGCTCCGGTGTCAGGGACTTAGCACATACGGTCCCTTCTGTCCTGTTACTCAACCCCCTCAACACATGGCTTCATGACATGGTCCCAGATGGGTTCTCCGGCACCGGCCTTTCACACCTGCCTGGGGGCAGCAGACTCAGGAACGGGGCAGGGGCAGGGCGGGCTGGTCACCTTTAAGAACGTGCTTCCTAGAAGTGTCTTCCTTCTAGGACACTGGTATAGACTTAATCATATCTAATTGGCAGGAAGGCCGGGAGGTGTCTTGCTTCTGGGCGGCTAAGATTTGGAGGCTATATGGCTGAGAAAAGTAAGAGGTGGAAAGGACATGGAAAATAACTTGTCCCAAGGCTTCAAGAATGATTCTCATATCCCTTGGGTGGCTAGGAATGAAGACAGAAGGGTTTTAAGGAGGTTTATTGGAAGCCACAGAGCACAGATGAGTAAGTTTTGTTTGGAACGTAATCTATTTTGGATGGCCTCTGGAACACCACATGGAGAAAAGCAGTAGGTACTTGAAAACATATGAAGAAATGGGTCCGTTCCTCTACTGAGACGATGCTCCTTGAGGATGGAGATCCTTTTTTAAAAAAATTTTTATTTATCTATTTTTATTTATCAGAGAGAAAGAGTGTGTGTGTGAGTGGGAGAGGGGGGCAGAAGGAGAGAAAGAGAGAGCATCTCAAACAGGCTCCACACTCAGTGGGGAGTCCTATGTGGGGCTCGACCCTGGACCCTGGGACCATGACCTGAGCGGAAATCAAGAGTCAGATGCTCAAGTGACTGAGCCCCCCCCCTCCCCCCCGCCCAGCAGGCATTGTCCGGGAGGGTGGAGATTCTTATTGTCCATCACTACACGCCTGCCTTGCCTTAAGGGTCTCCAGAAGGGATCAAGATTGCAGGACAATTCAGAGGGTGAAAAAATTCAAGGTCCATTTTTTTAATATATAGAAGTACCAATGGAGAGACTATATCTAGACTCCAGCTACTGTTAGCACTGGAAAGAACTTTCTCAGGGAACCTCTGAAGAAAGGCACCATTGTATACCATCCATTCAAAACCTACTGTGAACACACACCCACGCCAAGTACTGAGCAGAGGAAAACTTCTTCTAAAATGAGGTGTTACATCTCAGGCGTGTTAGGGAAGGTGCTGAGGGAGGAGGGGACATCTTGGAGATCCAGCTCTGGTGTGGGGGGGGGGGGAGGGGGGGACGGGGGTTGAAGGTCACGACCAGGCAATGTCACAGCTACGCTGACCCACAGATCGCCCCACTTTCAGGCTGAGGGGCGGCGCCGCTGCACCTGCTTTTAGGAAGCCGACCCGCCGAAGTTGGGGGGAACTTGGCGTTCTCCAAGGGTCTTCCAGAGCTGTGAGAGACGTGGCCAAGGATCCAGACGATTTAATCCAGTTTTATGAAAGGGGGGTTACAGTGAGTAATTAAGGCACAGTTAAAGAATTAATCACTAATGAGTCATTAACTCTGCCCACTATTGTACAGTTAACAAGCTGAGGCCAGATTATTAGAGCCAGTTCCCAATTAAGGGGACGACTTTGGCCACAAAGCACACCATCCGCCTCTTGAACGGTCCGGCGCGCCCGCCGGGCGCTGCGGGGCCGCGCCTTTCCCAGGCCAGTTAGGACGCAGGCCGAGCCCCGAGGGCTGGTGCGCAGCTCGCGCTTGCTGTGCAGAGAGGAAGTGCAGGCTTTTTCATTAATTTTATCTTCCCCGGAAATCTTTTCCTGCTGGGCTCCTGGAGGCTTGGATGCTATTCGTGTATTAAGGTTCTGTCGGTGAAAAGGAGCGCTCGGATGGAGACTGGGAAGCGCAAGCGGCGAGGCTGGCGGGCGGGGGCGGGGAGGTGGCGGGAGCCGCGAGGCAGGACGTCCAAAGTTAAAGTCGCTGGGACGGCTGAGTCCGCACTCCTGATGTTCCCACCAGACACCGCCCGCGGGACGGACGAGGCTCCCGGGGAGCGGGGACCTGGGCGGCCCCCGCTTCCAGAATCTGGCCGCAAAGCCTTTCAATTAGCCGATGAACTTGGCCGAGAGAGGGGAGGATTAGGATTCCCTGTCTCCGCTTTTTGGATTCTGGGTTAACTGGAGACGGGAGTGGGGGGCGGGAAGGGATTTCCCATCTCCCACACTTGAAGGATCTGTTTAAAATAAGTCAATACATCGGGGCCACCCCAGGCCAATTGCTGACCGCTGGCCGAAGCCTGCCCCTCTCAGGGGGTCTCTCCCAGTCCTCCCATCCTGTGTCACCCACACCGTTCCCGACCAACCCTCCCGGGCGGCAGGGGTGAAAACTCGGGCCCGCAGGGCGCAAAGCGGCACACCCAAGCCACCCAATCCCGGATGAAAGCCTGGACGGGCCCGGGGCCGCAGCGTGGAGGACACGGAGCAAGGAGGGCCCCGCGGCTGCCCCGGGACTCCGTGGCTCCAGAAACGGGTGACCCTCTGTCCCCTGCGTCCCCGCGGGAGAGAAAAGTCGCCACCCAGAAGTCGGAGCCCACGCACGCAGTATGATCACGGCCCTCCCACGGGCAAGAAGAGACGCCTCCAAAATGGGGAAAACGGGAAAAGTGAAACGCCCCGCGACGCTGGGGCGGTGGCCGGGGCGGCAAGGCTCGGCGCGTCGGGGATCTCCGGGCCCTGGGTCCCCGCGGCGCACACGCCCGGGAGCGCACCAGCTCCCCAGGCCGCGCCCCACTCCGCCCTTCTCTCGGAGTGGCCCAATCCGAGGCGTCCTTCCCCGCCCCGCCCCCCCCCCGGCCTGGAGCCCCGCCCCGCGCGGCTCGGAGCCAGGGACGCGGGAGCGATTCTGCCGCAGACTCCCCTGCTTTCCTCCCGCGGCGGGTCACGGCCCAGGTCGTCTTCTGGGGAGGAAGCTCCCAAGGCCTGCCTCTTAGATTGACTGAATGCAGTCAACCCGAATGAGCGTCTGCCTCGCGACCCGGGCCGCTGTGCTTGGGCGGCAGTGTCTTTCCTCCCCAAACCCTGTAGACCCACTCCCAACTTGTTCTCGCTCCCCTTCGGGGGACACTGGAAGCTCTCCGCAGCCAAACCCGCAGCCTCATCACGGAAGGCTCAGGAACCATTTTTCGAGCGCAGGAGACCCCTTCCCCGGAGTCCCGGAGGGACTCGTGCCCGCCCCAAATCAGAGCCGGCACGATCTAGCTTCGGAAGCCCGGGCTCCACCTTGGCCAGCGCCTGCGCAAAGTGCTCTCTGCAGCCGGGAACTCGAGCAGCTTCCCGTGTTTCGGGGTCGTCTGGGGCTTAATGTTCTTTAGCGAAAGTCATTCTCACCTCCAGCCTGAGTTAAGTCCCGGCTTCCCACTTCTTCTGCACCTCTACTGCTGGAGCTCCTAGGCTGCCCCCAGGAATGGGGGGGAGAGGG